TTGAAAATTAGAACAACAGATGTCATTTTCCAGCAGACAGGAAAACAAGACTCTGTCAAGCACTTATTAAATAGTTTAGAGGAAATTGAAGTAAAATTCTGGAGAACACTTTTGTAAGACTATGACAGGAATGTTGTCTGGACCACAAGCCTTAGAAGAGTTTAATTAAGGTATGACTTTAGCAATGGAAGCTGGAGTGATTTAAATGTCTAACAATGGGTTAACCTGTTTAATTGAAATGGAAAGAAGAGCATAAGATTCAAGAGTTGAATTAGAAGAAAAGTTCTTTGCAAATAGTTTTGCCTTACCCTTGGGAGAGGTAATAAGATAAGACCTATGAATGAGAGATAGAATGTGAGACCTACCCTTGTTAATGATGCTGTTGAAGATTAACAGTAACCATTAAAAAGTAAAAGTAACCATTAACACTGAGATCTGAAGAGGAATAGCGGAATTTAAATTAGTCTTACTAAGAGCAAGCAAGTCTGGTAAATTTTGTAAGATGTAAGATTCAACTGATGGAAGGTTGCTTCGCAGACCAAAAATAATTGTAAAAAATATATTAAAACAGTTAGATGGTAGGGATGATTTTTTATGTTTAATATTTTGGATTACTTTTGACATGATTTAAGTTTAAACAAAACTTGACTCATTAATAGATAGAGCATGACCTTCTAAGCAATTAGCTATGCTATAAAAACATTAACAGGGACACCATCCATGCACAACATGGCTAAAAATAAAAGAGTATTAACTATGTTAATATGTTAAGGGTTCAAGGCTGGTTAGCAGAATTATTATGCTTAAACCTAAAGTTTTTGCCTAGAAGGCCTCCTACAAGACTAGCTGGATGCTGTTAATATCTGCCCAAGATAAATATTTTTATCAAGACACCATCTCTAGCCTTTACTTAACTAAGACCCCCAAGGCAGAGGATTTTTAAGCTGGTGGATTTTGTCCTGTTCAACTGATATTAATTATGTTCAATTGGTATTATCATTATGAAGCTGGTTAAAAATTTTATGTAATCTTTTGCCATCATTATACATACTAATTACATTACTTTCGAGGATATCGAGGATATTTATATGCTAGTAGAGCAGCAACTTATAATATTATGTATAAATGTATATATATGTTAGGAGAGCAACAATCTATAAATACATATGTTTTATATTTTTTAAGATGGGGAGCAGCAGTTTCTGGATTTAGATGAAAAACTCAATAAGCTTGCAAAATATGCTCCTCACTTATGGAAAGATGATGTAAGTTTTTTTTTAATTTTCTTTTTTCATTTTGTAGTAGTAACAGTTTAATATTATTTGGTAATATTTTTTTTTTTTCAAACATCTTTAATTGCAAAATACATAACTTTAAGTAATGATCCTAAAAGCAAGGATCTGCATTAGGGTTTCTCAAACGGGATCCCGGGATCCCGGGGATAAAAGTGGCAGCGGGATTTCCCGGGATATCACTCTTATATCCCGGAATATAATTTTTTTTTAAATAATTTTACATATGATAACTTTGAACTAATTCGACCAAAAATAAGAAAAATATTATTGCATTTAGTTGTGTTTTATGTGTTCATACCTTATATTAAAACCTAGCACAACAAGAAATGCTATTGAAACTATCTTAAACTAAAAAGAAATGCATTGCAATGCAATGTTTTCTTTTTTCTCATTATTATAAAATATGAGTAAAAAATAAAAAAGATTTCTTGCGACGAAAACAGTAAGTTTAATTTTTAAACTTCTAAATTATTGAAAAGTTAAACTTTTTCTGTATCAAATTATTGAAATATTTAATAATTTTTGTATTTAAAAAACGGCAAACAAACACATAAAAGTCATACGTAAGATAACATACATATGTAAGAAATATTTGTAACTTTACTTTTAGTTGTTCTGCGATTCAATTTAGTTATACTATGTCAATTGTAAATGGATCCAAAGCATGGCAGTATTTTTGTAAAGAAAAATCTGGCGAATCTGCAATTTGCAAAAAGTGCAATGTAAAGATAATGTGCAAAGGATTTTCGACCAGTGGGCTCCTACGTCATTTAAAAAACACACATAAAGATTTGGATCTAAATATGAAGCGTCTACTTGAAGATACTGGTTCGGAAAATAAAATTGTTCAAAAGAAAATAACATTGTTTGTTAAACAGCAGACTATCGAGGAAATTGTGTCAAAGCTAGCAACGGTGGATGGCTTCTCAATAAATGCCATAACAAAAAGTGAATTCATTAGAAAATCATTGTCTGAAAAAGACATGTTATTACCAAAAAATCCATCCCATGTTATGGGTATGATAAAAAAACAATATGAATTAGCTAGACAAACTGTGGTTTTAGAGATAACAAAAGAAATTTCTAGCGGGTCGCGATTTTCTTTATCGTTAGACGAATATACGTCTTTAAAAAATCGACGTTATTTAAATGTAAATTTACACTTATCAACAAAGTTTTGGAACCTGGGAATGACTCCGATAGCTGGATCACTTCCTGCAGAAAAAATTGTTGATCTAGTTGAAAATAAACTGTCAGATTTCAGTTTATCAATTAAAAAGCACATCATAGCTAGTGTCACTGACGGAGCATCCGTAATGAAAAAATTTGGACGGCTAAGTGGTATTGAACATCAGCTGTGTTATGCCCACGGACTTCATTTGGCAGTATGTGATGTTCTTTACAAAAAGTCAGACTCTTCAGCAAAATATATTGAATTTGAATCGCAGTTTCAAGATTCCGATGAAAATTTGAGTGATTACGACGAGTTTGATGATGTATTTGACTGTAATGATGAGTCACACAGCTCAACAGGCGTTACGTTTATTGATGATTTACAAAATAGCGTAAATATAGCCTTAACAATTCAGAAGGTTCGAAAAGTGGTTCGAATGTTCCGTAAATCACCTCTTAAAAATGAAGTTTTACAAATGTACGTAAAATCTATGTTTAATAAAGAGCTTAAGCTGATATTAGATGTCAAAACGAGGTGGAATAGTCTTGTTGCAATGCTAGAAAGATTCCTTAAAGTAAAAACATGTATACTAAAAGCAATGATCGATTTAAAAGAAGTTCTGAATATCTCCGAAGATGAATATGCGATTATGAACGACATAACATTTTCTCTGCAACCAATAAAAGTTGGAATAGAAAGACTTGGTAGAAGTAATGCTACTCTACTTGACGCAGAAGGTGTAATGATATTCATCTTAGACGATTTGACGGAGAAAAAAAATTTTATAGCTAATAAACTGCTTCAATCTGTGCAGCAGAGAATTGAAGAACGCAGAAATGCCAATTTAATTGGATTACTAAAATTTTTAAACAACCCAATTAGTTATAATCAGGAATCAAATATCAACTCTAAACTACTCTTACCGCCCAAACATGCATTAAAAGCAACAGCAAAAAAAATTTATACCAGGTTGTACATAGAGGATGCTAGCCTTAGTTCATCAAATAATGAAATAGTTGAAGTGAGTCGTGATAATGAAAGCATGGTTTCTGACCCGTCAATACCTCAACCTGTTGCTCCATATTTATTAGGCAAAAGTATTTTGACGCTTGAACAAAAATTGGATGCGACTATTTGTAATGTCAAACAAGTAGAAAAAGCAGCTCTAGAAAACATTAGCAATTTAAAAAACCTCACAAAAGAAATCAAACTTTTTGAGGCAACTGGAAAGCGTAGCGAAAGTTTAGAAAGAATATACTCAACATTAATGACCATCAAGCCGACATCAATTGAATCAGAAAGGGCTTTTTCTGCCGCGGGTCTATTTATGGGAAAAATTCGTTCACGATTAAGTGACAAATCAATTGATTGTTTATGTTTTTTAAAACAATATTTCATTTTAAATAGTAATATAGATTAGCGTGCTAAGATAAATTTGTGTCAGAAACCGCTTGTTATTATATTAAAAATTATGCCGGGAAATCCCGGGAAATCCCGGGATAAATAAGTTACACACCGGGAATCCCGGGATGCTAAATTTACGGGAAATGAGAAACCCTAATCTGCATGAAATTTGATCTGCAATGAAAATTGTTTCGCTTTCAAAAAATATAAATAAAAAAACTAAAGTACAAACAATTATTTTCAAAATATTGACTAGTTAATAATACAAAAATTTATTCATAAAAAAGTGAAAAGAAAACAGTATTCCTATTGGCAATATACAGTTAGGGCCAAAAAGATCTGACCATACACAATACACTAAACAGCCATGTATTGAATGATTGATTGAATGTAATCCGATGGCGATCACAAATAATACTGAATATGTATTATAACTTATATTTTTAAGATCTTAACCGTTTTTACATTAACTATATTACTTATATTCTTTTTATTTTTGTATCTGAAAAACAACAACAACAAAACTCTATTTATACAAAAATTTTGTTCAATAACAAAAAAACGCTATTGTTCAAATAGTCGCCACATAATTGTTATTTAGTTCGTTATAGCCATATTGGCGCTATTTACTGGTTATATCAATCATGGTATCGAAATGTTGTTTTTCTTTTATGCTAGTTCAATTTTCTTCCAATCATTCTCCCCCTCTTTGGTAGACTCCAGTCTATCAAACATTTAATTATCAAACTCAAGAAGACACAATCTCGTAATTGGTCGTATAAATTCTTTTTCGCCAATTTTGACTTTCACAACTCTTACACGTCCATCCATACCTTCAAAGACTCCCGTAATTCTACCAAGTGGCCAATGTCTTCTAGATGTATCTGGAGAAATTACTAACACAATGTCATCCATTTTTATTTCGCGTTTTTTCTGATTCCATTTATATCTATTAGATAAAGATGGAAGCCATTCTCGCATCCACCGTTTCCAAAAATGACTTAGTAGTCCTTGCACTCGACGCCAGCGCTTTTTAGATTGAACTGAATCAGGTGCAAATTGTCCACCAACTTGCCCAATCAAAAAATGATTTGGAGTTAATGGAATATCATCTTTTATATTGGCACTCTGATATGTTAGTGGGCGAGAATTCAATAAACTCTCAGCACCTGTAAATGCCGTACAGAGTTCTTCATCTGTAATATTGGCTTTTTCGAGTATCCCAGTTATTGCACGTTTAACAGCTTTGACCATTATTTCAAATACACTGCCAAGATGAGGTCCTAGCGGAGCATTAAAGTGCCACTTGATTCCTTTATCAGCTGTAGAGTTAGTAATTTTATCTTTATCTAAGTCATTAACAATTTCGTTTAGTTCTCATCATCCTCCAACAAAATTTGTTCCATTGTCCGTTAAAAATTCTAATGGTAATCCTCAGTAATCCTCTTCTATTCACCATTCGATAAAAGCCATTGAGGAATGAATTTGTATCTAGATTATAAGCCATCTCAAGATGTACTGCTTGTCATAGTAAACAGGTAAACAAGCACAAGTATCTCTTTTGTCGTATCTTCCCTCTACCTTGCATAGTAAGAAATGGACCAGCAAAATTGATACCAATTCTAGCAAACGCATATAGTGGTTCTTTAAAGTGCATTGTTGGTAAAGGGGCCATCAGCTAATGAGCAGGTTTACATCTTCTTAATTTACATTTGTTGCATTTCCTTCTGATAGTTTTGTTAATAATTGATTTGTTCCCATCACATGATTGGCTTCGTCATGGTAATGCTTAACAATCAATTTTGTTATTGTATGTCCTCTCGGCAAAATGGTTGGATACTTGACATCATAGGGTAAGTAATGGGCATTTTGCAATCAACTGCAAGATCGCAATAATCTGTCTTGGTCAATTTGCGGATTTAAAGAGATGATTTTGCTTGATATCAATATAGGTTTTCTTTTTTCAATGTTGCTATATTCTTCTTTAAAGCTTTCTTTTTGAGCTTTAGCTATGACTTCTTTTTCGCTTTCATGATATTTATCAGCTGCTATATCACCGTTTTTACGAAAGTCTGTTTCAAATCGACAGTTTACTATAAACCGATGGATCCAGCCGTTTATCCTGACAAGTTTTTTCCAACATGAGAACTTGTTTATATCAAGCAATTGCTTTGTTACTTCTACTTACTAATTTTTTTATACATAAAACTGGCAATGAGAAGGGTAAACTGTTTGGAGTTTGAACGAACGAGTTTGGTATGCTGATCTATTGTAATTGCTTTTAAATAGAATTTTCAAATATTTAAACAATTTTTGCAATAAACATGTAAGTTAACATGTAAGGTAGCAAGTATATGTAAATTAACATGTAAGGTAGCAAGTGAAGTAAAGTAAAGTAGCAAGTATATGTAAATTAACAGAGGCAGTAAATTCATTTCATTTTTTGTTTAAATTACAATTATAAAAAAGAAAGTAGTATGTATAGTATATAAAGTAATTTTAATAAAACTTTCAATATATTATTAGGATATCTTTTTAAATAATTTCTCCGATAAAATTTTAAATATCTGAATAATTTTTTATCAATATATTTTAAGAAAATTTTTTATTAGAATAGAAATATGCTGTACACTCAATTAATTGAGTGTTGAGTCCAAACTAATGTAGACTTCGAGACTGTAACAGTTGTAACAAAACAAAATAGTTTTAATAAAAATAATCACTAATGTTTAAAATATTTGTCTATTTTGTTTTTAAATTGATTGATGGTGCTTGCATCTATTGCATCCTGTTCAAGATTGTTCCAATCATTCACTACTCTATTTGTAAAGGAGTTAAATCTTTTCATGTTGGTTGTTAATTATCTTCTTAATTTCAAATTGTAACCTCTTGTTTTCCTTTCATTATCAACAATTTCTGGTGGACAGTAAAAATTAATTATGTTGTATCCTTTAAAAATATTTAAACATTTGAATTAAATCTCCTCTTCTTCTATTTTCAAACAATAGTATCCAATAGTAACAATAACAATAGTAGATCCAGTTTTTTAAGTCTTTCTTCATAGTTATAACCTTGTAAACTTTCAATTCTTGTTGCTCTTTATTGGACTTTCTCTAATTTATCCTTATCATACTGCCAGTCTGGGTTCCAAATTGTGGCTGTGTATTCTAAGTGAAGTCTAACTAATTCTAATTAAATAAATCTCATTTATATAATGGAAGACATGTTTGATTTGACCAAGTTTTTGATTAGCTTGACCAAATGATCAAGTTTTTAATGAGCTTTTTTAGATGCTTGATTAGAATTGATTAGAATTGATTAGAATTAACTTGATTAGAATTGACCAAGTTTTTGATTAGCAAAATTGTTCTGCATTTGGGTTATTTAAACATTTCTCAGAAACCTCAAAGGCTTTGATTTCTTCTTTTACATACATAAAAACTCCGCCACCTCTACCAATGCTTCTATCCATTCTAAATAGGGTGTATACTCTTTTATTTGTAACTGAAGAACTTGTCCACCATGTCTCGGTTATCATTATAAGATCAGCTTTTCTTGAATTTATTTCCTCAATTAAATTATCTAATTTATTGTTCAATGATGTTGCATTTATGTATAAGTACTTTAAATCACTAAGTTTATGACTCAAATTCGACATTGTCTTAACACCCTTTTCATTTCTGAAATTAGCTCCCCCATCCAACGCAACATACTCATAACTTAACTTATACTTGTTGTTGTTGCTTGTACTTATCTTAGTTTCTTTAGTGCTTCTTGATTTCGATTTTTTCCAACAGGTCGTTTTTGATAACAAATGGAAATGTTGAATTTTTTTTTTGTTCAATTTTATTTAACTTTTTTCTTTCATCAAGTAGCAACTTAAGACTAGCTTTTTCTCAATATGTCAAATCTGGATTAATGAATACTTTATCTCTACGTTACTTAATTTTCTAGCAATGCTTAAAACTTATTTTTGATACGATGAATCAACTAGTTCAATAATTAGTGGTCCTGGCTTATCTTTGTCTCGTTGTTTAAAGTGAAGTGTCTTTGTTGTCTTTGTTGTTTAATCTAAGTGAATTAAACAATGTTTAATTTTTCCAACCCAATAGCATCAAAAACTCCACTAATACTTTTATCATCATCTTCCTAAATGTTTTTTGTTTTTTTGTTTTAATTCTTTTAAAACTAATACGTTTTTTTCTTTTTTGACTTTCTCCTTTTGCTCAGCTGAGATTGCATTATTTACATGAGTTTCTGATTCACTGATGGGTGGTGCTCCTTCACTTGTTTTCTTTATTAGACTACTAAATAGCGGTTTATTGTTTTTATATTATTTTATTCGTTTTTTTTAATTTGTTTTTTAAATCAATAATTTCTGAGTTTAACCTTTTATTCTCTTTCTCCACTTGCTCAATGCGACTAATATATTCCATTCTAAGTTCATCTATTGCCTCTTATTGCATTTTGCGTATCTTTTAATAAAACCATTTTTGTTGACACAAAAGTTTTTTTTTTTTATTATTGTATTTTTTTCTAAATAATTTGTAATTGTAAATAAATAATTTTTTTTTTTAATAATTTTTTATTTATTTTGTAGTTATGATGACTGGCCAAGCAGCCAAATTTTTTTTTTGATTTAAAAATTTTTTTTTTACAATTAGTTTCTTAAATAATTTCGTCACTGTTAATCATGGAGAATAATTAATGTTTTGTAATAATTTTCGTCACTGTTAATTATGCAGAATAATCAATAATTTTTTGTTTATTTTGTGGTTATGACGATTTATGACAGTAACCAAGCAGCCAAAAAAAAAATTTTTTTCATTTAAAATTTATAATTCCCACCTCATCGTAGTATAGCGCTGAATTTCTTTCTTTGCACAGCAACCTTGTTCATTTGTCATTTTGAAATTAAAAAGTTTAGAGAGGATTGTAACCAAAATAAAAAAAAAGATTTGATATCCTCTTTTATTGATATCCTCTTTTATTGATATCCTCTTTTATTGATATCCTTTTATTGATATCCTCTTGTTGATATCCTCTTTTATTGATATCCTCTTTTATTGATATCCTCTTTTATTGATATCCTTTTATTGATATCCTCTTTTATTGATATCCTCTTTTATTGATATCCTTTTATTGATATCCTCTTGTTGATATCCTCTTTTATTGATATCCTCTTTTATTGATATCCTCTTTTATTGATATCCTTTTATTGATATCCTCTTTTATTGATATCCTCTTTTATTGATATCCTTTTGTTGATATCCTCTTGTTGATATCCTCCTTTATTGATTTCCTCTTTTATTGATATCCTCTTTTATTGATATCCTTTTATTGATATCCTCTTTTATTGATATCCTCTTTTATTGATATCCTCTTTTATTGATTTTAGATGTTTATTGTTATATTTTTAAGTATATCAATGTCTTTTATGAGATGTTCGAAAGGACATAATGTTGATTTGATCTTAATTAAATCTTTAATTTGTAATAAAAATTAACACCAAGAAAGCACATTATAAGAGCACATCCTGGATCAAAATCATGGATTCTGCATTTGGAACAAAATCTTGATTCAGTCTCTGATATAATTTTTAAGTACACATACGTAACATAACACACATTAAAAAAACCATATAAAATAATGTAAAAGAATTATAATGCAAAAATAAATATTTAACATAAATAATACAGTTAATAATCTAAATAATCTAATTGTTAATAAATCTCTTTATATAAATAATATGAAGACTGAGCACAAGCTAGAATCATGTGATAGTAGAATAATGCAATAGTAGACTAGTAGTAGTAGTATTAGACTACTAGTAATAAGTAGTAATAGTAGACAAGTAGTAATTTAGTATTAAGAAGAGTAGCAGAACTTTCAGTTCACAATCAAGAGGTTTGAGGTCCTATGTCTCTGAAAGAATCATGCTTAACCTGGTTTACTGCACAGTGGCCACGTTTAACAAGATTCATGTTTCTAAGTTTAGAGTTGAGAAAGCTTAAAATAAATGAAAATAAAAATGGACAACCTCCCTGACACCAGTGGACCTGTAGTCTTGGGGAGATGAACTTAATAATTAGCAATTTTATAATTAAATTGTTAATTAATTAAATATGATTAGATCGTGACTTAAAATTAATTTGTTTTAATATTTCAGAGCTCATGCAATTCATCATTGGTATTTACTGTGTTCTTTAGAGTGAAGTATTATGTGGAAAACATCTGCTTGCTTCAGTATAAATTTTAATAATATAGCTAAGGATATATTTTTAAAATAAGTTTATTTGTTTTTAAATATTGATTGAATAAAATTTAAATTTATTTTATAATCTGAATTATAAAATTGAATAGGGAACAGCAAACAAGGCATCAATACTATTTGCAACTTCGTAAAGATGTCTTGGAAAATAGCATTAGAATACATGAAGATACTTCCATGGTTCTCGCATCTTATGCATTACAAGCAGAACTTGGTGACTATGATAGAAATATTCATGGAATTGACTATTTTGTGCCTCAACATTATTTACCAGCCAGAGTATGTTTTTTATTTTAGTAAAATATTTTTTTTTGTTTTTATTATTTTTAATTATAAGTTTTAAATTTTTTTTTGTTTATTTTAAATTAATTAGAGCATTTTTTTTTAGTTTTATGAAATTTTAATTTTTTTTTTTTTTTTTTTTTAATTTTATGAAATTATAATCAACTTAAATTTTCATTTAAAGTAATTTAAACAAATTACTTTAAATCTCCTACTTTAAATCTTAGTTTCTTTTCTATTGAATTATATATATATATATATATATATATATATATATATATATATATATATATATATATATATATATATATATATTTTATTGAAATATATATATATATATATATATATATATATATATATATATTCTATTGAAATATATATATATATATATATATATATATATATATATATATTATATATATATATATATATATATATATATATATATATATATATATATATATATATATATATATATATATATAATAAAAGAGATGTCTAATTGGTATTGGTATTCAGTAGCTTTATTGTTCTAAGTAGTTTTGATATTGGTATTAGGAAATAATTAGAAAATGGCATTTGGAAAAAATGTTTGATAGGAGAAACTCTAATGTTAAGTGAGATCAAATTTAAGATCTAAGTTAAGTTAAGTAAGACTGAAAGCACCTAAGTCATGATGTTAAAGTCAACTCTACGCTATTATTAAATGAATAATATTTTTTCAGTTATTACTATTTTAAAATGTTTATAAATTTACAAATGTTTTACCTGATGAAAAATTTTCAATCACAAAATTTTTATATTTCTGTAAATATTTCTGTTTCTCTAAATATTTTTTTATATACTGTGTTTTATATAAAATAATTTAGTTAAGTGTTATAAAATACTTTATATACTGTGTTTTATATAAAATAATTTAGTTAAGTGTTATAAAATACTTTATATACTGTGTTTTATATAAAATAATTTAGTTAAGTGTTATAAAATACTTTATATACTGTGTTTTATATAAAATAATTTAGTTAAGTGTTATAAAATACTTTATATACTGTGTTTTATATAAAATAATTTAGTTAAGTGTTATAAAATACTTTATATACTGTGTTTTATATAAAATAATTTAGTTAAGTGTTATAAAATACTTTATATACTGTGTTTTATATAAAATAATTTAGTTAAGTGTTATAAAATACTTTATATACTGTGTTTTATATAAAATAATTTAGTTATGTGTTATAAAATATTTTAGGCTATTGCCAAGCTTGTTATACCATATATAAAGAATACTTTGCCAGCAATGCATCAATCTCTTCGAGGTTTGAGTGAAGACCAGGCAGAAATCGAGTTTTTAAAGGTATCATTATTAGATTACAATTATTTAAAAAAATTTTATACTCTCACAATCATTATTTTCATTTTTCTTGCTTTCAGGAGGCACAGAAGTTAAGTGAATATGGAATACTATTCCATCGTGTCTACAAGGTTGTAGCTTATAATAATTAATTAAAAATTATGAATTGTTTATTTTTTACTGTTTTTTGAATTAAGTTAATCCCTTTGCTATGAGTCATTTTCTCATTTGCAGGAATTATCTTTTTCCGGATATTTCCGGAATTTTGGATATTTTTCTCTTTTAGTTTTTCCGGATATCCAAAAACTTTTAGTTTTTCCGGATATCCAAAACATACATACAAGTTTAAGTATATATTTTCGCAATATACTTTTTAAGCTTTTTCACTCATCACTCATACAAAAATTAAAAAAAGTTTAGAAAAAAAATTTGAAAGAACTCAACTAAAAGCAAAATTAAGAGGAAAATAAGGGAAAATATATTTCAGATTTTTTCCAGATATTTTACCCAAATAGTTTTCCAGATTTTTATAATATGACCTGGATGATCTATGCATTTGGTAAACTTTATTACTGAAATTTTTTTGTAAAGCTCTTAAAACACACTCATAGTACAATTAATTTTTGCCGTAAATCTCTTAAAACACAATCATAGTACAATTAACATAAAAAACAGCGCTACAGGTAGTAATATTTATGGTCAGTATAAACTAGCATTTTATCTGATATTTACAAAATAAATTTAAAATTTTATGTACAAAATTAAATTTAAAATTTTGTGTACAAAATTGTACAAATGTCAACTATATAGATATCCTCATTTAGGACTATATTGTTACAGACCATAATTTCTTTTGTATTTATTATTTTGCTATTGAATATTAAATTATTAACAAATGTTAGTAACAGAGTAGATGTTGTCATATAAATTCAATTTTGTATGTAAATACATTTGGTTAATATACTTAACATGTAGACTGTAAATATAAAAACCAAATATATTTTATCAGAAAAATTTAATTTGTTATAAAAATGATAATTCACAATTTTAGATACATGTTACTGTAACAGAATGAAAAAAATGTTATCTTTACTTGAAGATACCTAAAAATATTTAACAAGCAGATGAGTGCAAAACTAAATCTATTTTTTCATCCCTAATGATTAAACTATGCATATTTATTGACATTTTATAGATAGTGCAAATTTTGTTTTCATGCAACATCAGTTGCAACAAAACCATTTAATGAGAAATTGACTCATATACATATACAATCAGAGATTTTTAAATATTGCAACATTTAATGAGTTTTTTTGTTTGTTTCTTTCATTATTTTAAAATAACTTTTTGTTTTTTTAATGGAAATTTGTTATAAGTATTGCATAATTTAGATTTGTTACAAAAAAATTATAAGATTTTAAAATTCTGAAAGAAATTCTTCATTGTGTCAAATTATTTTTAATAATCCCTCACTGTTAAGTTTAAATCCTGCTATGTTTTTAATAATTTTTTTTTTATTTGTTTTTTAGTTTTTTTATAACATTTTAAAACTGTTTATTGAAAAAAATTTTCCATTTCAAAACATTTTAATGAGAAATTAGAAAAAATTTTTTACCAGCTTTTCTAAATCTTTTAAATGAACAGTCTACTAACTGTTTAAAATTAAAGGTTTTTTTAATACATAAAATAAGAAGAGGCATACTTGTCTTTGTGATATTTTATTTTTGGAATGTTGTTTTTTATTATTTTTTGTTTTATCATTTCATCAAGTTCACAGAAACAAGTTAATAGAAGCTAATTAAGTTCATATTATAATATTCCTTTTAAAAAGAGTATTGTAAGTAATTCCATATAATATATTTTTTTAGAAAGAATATTCTAAACAAATTCCATACAATATTGGAATTTGTCTTCGTGGTTTAGTGATATATGAGGTAATTATTGTATTTCATTTAAAATATTGGCATATAAGTATATTTAAGTTTTTTAGTATTTTGTATATATATTTTTTTGTTATTATATTAGTAGAAAAAAATAATTATTTTTCAACAGGAAACAGGGCCAGTACGTAATCCTGTATGTAAATTCCCTTGGACTAAAGTTAAAAAGATGTCATTTAAACGAAGCAAGTTTATTGTTGAAGCTGATACACCAAATGTCAAGTATTCAAAACTAACATTTTGTACAGCAAGCTACAAAAGGTTTTAAGTTATAAGTTTTTTTTTTATATGATTATGACATCATAACCATGACAATATAAATTTCTGAAAATCATCTATTATTATTATTCAGATCAAGTTATCTTCTCAAAATAAGTTCATCATTTTTTAATTTCCAAATGAAGCTGGCAAGCAAGATTGCTATGTTACCTGAGCATCAAAGTAATTTTACTTTTTTTTATCTTTAATTTATAATATAACATCAGAAGTACAAAACTTTAAAAAGTTATTCTATATGTTTTATATAATGATATGTTCACGATTTAATAATTATCTTTTTACTATACAATATTTTATGCTAGATTGTTTTCCTATTATTTGATTGGTCTTCTTTATAAGCTTTTATCTAAATAATGTTATTTTAAAATTTTACATAAATCTAATTTAGGCTCAATACCTATTATGCCTGCAGTAATAAATCGCAATGAATCTAGTGCTCCTCCTCCTGAAATTAATTCTCACAATATTCTTTCTGTGCGACAATCAGGATCAAGCAAAGATACTTCAACCATTCAAGCAAAACCAGAGGTGTTATTTTTATATACAGTTTTTATTTCAAAGTATTTGAATATGAAAATTAAAAAAAAAAGTTTATATTACATAATATAAAATAAAGACAAAAAATTTAATAAATATATATTAATTTTTTTTGGTATTAAATATTTTTTTTGGTTTAACATTAAAATTAGTTAAAAATTTTAATATTTAAAGTAGCATATTTAAAGTTATTAAAATTTTATAATAGTTTTGCTTCATTATACTTCATAATGTTTTATGTTTTATACCTTTTTATATCAGATATAATTATTGTTTTACCTGTTTACCAAAAAGATTTGTCTTTGTTTACCACAAATAACTACCTCTCTTTATGCTTAAACACTAATTAAAATACATAAAGTTCATACTTAAAAATATTTTGTGTGTAGGGGAGGTCGGGGGAATAGTGGCTCCTTAAGGTTTTTTGCTATTTTTAGGGTTGTATTATAATGGTCCAAGCTGTAACTATGGTAGTAGAATTCCTACAATGTATATTATAAAGTTCTTTATTAGCAAATACGAACAAAAAATAATTAACCTGTTATTACAAGAAAAAAATTAAACAAATTATTACCCCTTAACTTTGGGGCAATTGTGGCAGCCTGGTCAGCATTACCCCTATTCTTTTGTCGAATACGAATAATGAAAACAAGAATAATAATTATTATAAATAAGTAGTACTAATAAGTAGTTACTTATTATTTTTTAAGAGAAGAAGTTTATGAGTTTAAGAGAAGAAGTTTATGAGTTTAAGAGAAGAAGTTTATGTGAGTTTAAGAGAAGAAGTTTATGTGAGTTTAAGAGAAGAAGTTTATGAGTTTAAGAGAAGAAGTTTATGCGAGTTTAAGAGAAGAAGTTTATGTGAGTTTAAGAGAAGAAGTTTATGTGAGTTTAAGAGAAGAAGTTTATGAGTTTAAGAGAAGAAGTTTATGAGTTTATGAGTTTAAGAGAAGAAATCAATGAGTTTAAGAGAAGAAGTTTATGAGTTTAAGAGAAAAAGTTTAAGAGTTTATGAGTTTAAGAGAAGAAATTAATGAGTTTAAGAGAAGAAGTTTATGTGAGTTTAAGAGAAGTTTATGTGAGTTTAAGAGAAGAAGTTTATGTGAGTTTAAGAGAAGAAGTTTATGAGTTTAAGAGAAGAAGTTTATATGAGTTTAAGAGAAGAAGTTTATGAGTTTAAGAGAAGAAGTTTAAGAGTTTATGAGTTTAAGAGAAGAAATTAATGAGTTTAAGAGAAGAAGTTTATGTGAGTTTAAGAGAAGTTTATCTGAGTTTAAGAGAAGAAGTTTATGTGAGTTTAAGAGAAGAAGTTTATGAGTTTAAGAGAAGAAGTTTATGAGTTTATGAGTTTAAGAGAAGAAATTAATGAGTTTAAGAGAAGAAGTTTATGAGTTTAAGAGAAGAAGTTTATGAGTTTAAGAGAAGAAGTTTAAGAGTTTATGAGTTTAAGAGAAGAAATTAATGAGTTTAAGAGAAGAAGTTTATGTGAGTTTAAGAGAAGTTTATGTGAGTTTAAGAGAAGAAGTTTATGTGAGTTTAAGAGAAGAAGTTTATGAGTTTAAGAGAAGAAGTTGATATGAGGTTTAAGAGAAGAAGTTTATGAGTTTAAGAGAAGAAGTTTAAGAGTTTATGAGTTTAAGAGAAGAAATTAATGAGTTTAAGAGAAGAAGTTTATGTGAGTTTAAGAGAAGAAGTTTAAGAGTTTATGAGTTTAAGAGAAGAAGTTTATGAGTTTAAGAGAAGAAGTTTATGTGAGTTTAAGAGAAGAAGTTTATGTGAGTTTAAGAGAAGAAGTTTATGTGAGTTTAAGAGAAGAAGTTTATGCGAGTTTAAGAGAAGAAGTTTATGAGTTTAAGAGAAGAAGTTTATGTGAGTTTAAGAGAAGAAGTTTATGAGTTTAAGAGAAGAAGTTTATATGAGTTTAAGAGAAGAAGTTTATGAGTTTAAGAGAAGAAGTTTAAGAATTAATAAAAATAAGTAGTACAATATTACTATTAAATAAAATAGTCACAAATATAAATATCATTTTTTATGGAGGAGATCTGCACAGTCTTTGTGGGCTCAGTCACCAGTTACCCATCATTCTCGATTTTTACCAAATTCCCCACAAACCAAACAAATATCTGAAGACTTTTCTATTTTTAGCCATTTTATACGGCCATGATTGCTCCGTTTAAAATAATAAAATCATAACCCCAAAATAAATCAATTTTTATTAACAAAAATAAAAACATATTTGCAAATAAAAAGATACTTACATTATATATATTTAAAAACTAGAATAGTTATATTTCTTATTATTGGTGTTATTTTCTAATATGTAAATGATAGTTAACAACATAAGACAACTAATTCCACTTATGTAGGAAGAACCAAAAACTAGGACCAATTATTAGTTCTTCTAGTAGAACATAGGTACCAGTACAGATGAAAAATCTCACTTAAATTACAATTACACAAATTATACAAATCTAGAAATATCATATGTTTATAATTACTCCAGAGGCCATCAATTCCCCCCCCCCCCCGACCTCCCTTACTATTCTATTACACATGTTAAATAAATAAAAAATTATTGTTTTAGTCAATAGAGATGGAAATAAAGGATTGAAAAAAACATTTTTATTAATTTTGGAAGAATTTTAAACTTAAAATCTAACAGCAAACTCAAAATAAATGGTAAATTTTTTTAAAACAATTTTTTTTATTAAATAAATAATAAATACAGCGTAAAGATTAACATTAAAGTAGTTCTTCAATAAAATAATTATTAAATTTTGAAATATTTTTTAAAAGTTTAGCTATAAAAACCCTTAAAATTTTTTAAAGTTTCATAATTAAACTATTTACTACAAACTTAAAATGGTGACATATTATGACAAAAGTAATTTTTTGATTTTAAAAATATTCAGGTGAAACAGACAACGATTGACTTGATTAAAAAAGATGGAAGTTTTGGATTTAGTATAGTGGTAAAATAAAAGTTCTATGTTTTTTACAATTAAAATTAGTTAAAAAACTTCTTTGATAGTATTGAATTGAGCTGGTTGAAATGATTGTTTTATAGGGAGGAATAGAACTGGGAGGTATATTCGTAAAAGATATTACTCCTGGTGGTCCTGCAGCTCTTTCTCGTCAGATAAATGCTGGTAATCATTTTAATTTCTTTATTTAGTTGTTTTTTTTTTTTAATAATTTTGAAATTATAAATTGTTGTTTCTTAAGGGGATCGAATTGTTCAAATAAACAAAGTCAGTTTTGAAAATGTGACTCGTAGAGAGGTAAGTTTTTTAATGTTTGATATATTTTTTTTTTAAATGTTTGATATACTTTTTTTTTTTTAATATTTGATATACTTTTTTTTTTAATGTTTGATATACTTTTTTAATTATTGTTGTATTTTTAAAATGGAACTTATTTTATTAAAGGCTATAAATACATTAAGAAATGCTCCTGATAAATCAAAATTTGTTATTGAATCATTTGGTCGAAATATTATTATTGAAGCTGATGCATCTTTTAATACATCACATGTTATGTCTACACAATCAATTGCTCAACCACAAATACCTTTTGTACAGAATGAAAGAGAATCTGTAAAAAAAAAATATTTTTAATTTTTATATTTTTTATAGTTTTGAATATTTTACTCAAGAGTTAATGGTTTTTATTGTTTAGGATTATATTCGGGTGAATCTTGTAAAGCACAACAATACATTTGGTATTGGATTTACAGTAAGCTTTAAATTTTTAACTAATGAAGTTATTCTAACTAATGAACTTGTTTATTAGTTAGAATAACGTAGAAGTTATTCTAACTAATGAACTTTTGTTTGTGTTAATTGTTTAAACTAGTAAAAGTTTTCTAACTAATAAACTTTTTTTTAACTAATGAAGTTATTTTAATAAATAAAATTGTTCTAACTAAATAAAAAAACTTTTTTTTATGTCATTTAACTATTTTTCTTAAAAGTTTATATCATAATAAAATCTATGTACCTTTAAGGGAGGTCCTGAGCTTGGTGGTGTTTATGTCAAGTCTCTTCTTCCGCATAGTTCTGCTGAAATTGACGGTCGCATAGCAGTTGGTAAACTTTTTTCTTATTTTATAACCATGTCAGTGGTGTACTGGCAATGTCATAATAGTGCGTACTTTTGTTGCACACTTTATGGTTCTTGATTTACATTAACTATTTTAAAATGTTTTTATTTAGGTGATAGATTGGTTGAAATTGACCAGATTAATGTAGAAAATTTTACAAGAAAAAAGGTTTAGTGTTTTTTTTTTACTTAAGTATATCTATTTCATAATTGTATAACTGTATTTTTGTGATAGCTTTTGATTACATCATTTTCTGTCATCATTTGTTACCTTTTGAATACAGTGGCAGTATAATGCTAGTTATTCAAGTAATTTCACATTAAATCACTCATTCTATTGAACCGTGTATCTTTTTTTTTGTATTAACATATTTTGACACATGATTTTTATTTATAAAAAAAACATTTGATGCAAAATTTCAGCCAAAAACAATTTTGGTAAGACTATAAGAACTTCTGGGAGCACCTTAATAACCAAAAAAAAAATCAGTTCACAAGTCAACACAATTTTAATATTGATTTGGTGTACTAAATTGATACATACAATCTTGAATGGGAACACGCTTAAAAATGAATGAAAAGGTTTTCATAAATAAAGGAATAACAATGACTAAAAAAAAAGAAAATAAATGTTTTTTATGTTTTTTTGATGCATAGTTCAACAATGTTGAATAGGATCATGTTTAAAAATTAATAAAACAAATAGTTTTTTTTATTAATTTTTAAACATGACTCAAACTCAACTTTGAGATCCAGTAAACACCACTAGATTTATTCTCTCTATTCTACCCTACCTGGTGTACCAACTCTGTCTGGTGTAACAACTACCTAATGTAACTATACCTGGTGTAAAAACTCTATCAGGTAGAGTTGTTACACTATTGTACCTTTCTTGTTGTTCTTCACATTGCAACTGTCTGATCTTTTTATCAGCAACCTTGATTTTCTCAATACAAAATTCATTTGTGGCTTCTGATTGGATAATTTGATTCTGATTGATTAATTCTGATTCGAATAATTTGGTTTCAATATGGTTGTTTCAAACTTTCTTGTGCTGTCAATCTTTGCATTGTACTATCAATCAATTGCGTAATGAATTTCCTTGTGATGTGGCAAAAAAGACCAAGTGTACCCTCTAGTAGAGAGAAATTTTTTTAGAAGCTTTTACAATCTTAGCCTCTGGCATAAATTGTAGCTTTTTTTATTTTTGTACTATATATGAATAAATGTAATTTAAACAATTTTGAGGGTATTTTTTGTTTTTTTAATTTTTTTGTTGACCGGTTCTTTACCAGACCAATCATTACACTGTGCTAGTGTGTATTTTTTGTTTTCTATTGACCAAATAGGTTTTTAAAAATAAAACTATATACATTTGTACATAAAAAGAGTTTTAAAAAAGTATTTTTAATAAAAATATTTTTTCAAAAAGACTATTAACCAAATGTACTTTTAACAAAGTCAAAAGTTAGTTAATTTTCAATAAATAATATAAAAAATTAATTTACATTGAACTATATATATTAAATTTTACCTAAAAACCGCCTTGCAATTTTACCGCCATTTTTCTCTTCATCTGGTTTGGAACAATTCCGCGCTCACGTTAATGCGTTTTATTCTGTACCTGCAAAGTACATTAATTTGCATCTCTAATTTTAATCAACTTAGATAAAAATTAGAGATGTTAACTTATATACTAAGGGGTGTGAGTTTAAAAAGTTGAACAATAGTTCATTTGTCAAAACACATAATTTTCTTTTTTCTTAAGTCCATAATCTCATTAAAATTTTTTTTTTTGATGCTATTTGTTTTATTAAACATTTTTTCTGAGGGAACATAAACATGACATTTTTCTGAGGGAAAATAGGCATGACTTCTATTTTTTACCATTTTCATGCATTTTTTCACTTTAAGATTTTAGAATTTGAAGAAAGTTTTGATTGAAATTTAAAAGAGAAAAATAAATAAAAACTCTTGAAGATTATCTTTGTTAACCTTTTAGTTATTTTGAATGATGATAACACAAAATCTTCATACTGTTCATCTTGATTTGAGTTTCTCTTCTGTAAGATCTTATTTGGTAATCTTTTGTTTACAAGGTTTGCATTCAACATTATGGGTTTAAATTTTCATGCTAGAAAGAAAAGTGCAAACTTTTCTTTGTAACTTGCAATAGCCAAAGAATTTTTAAGAAAATATGAGTACCCATGGTTTATAGTTTTCTAAAATTTGAGTGATTTTATGTGAAGTTACCCATACATTACTTCCATTCAATATAGTGAAAGTTATAAAAGTTATAGTGATAATTGTTCATTACAAAAACAGTTATGCAATACAATAAGCCATTTAAAATGGTTACAGTCCTGACAGTCAGGTATTTAAATGAAAAGTTCAAATATTTACCCAAACGCCATGGTGAAACACAATCACAAACAGCTTAAGTTACTTTTTAGAATAAAACTTCATCAATAATTGTGCAATTTTTTTTTTATTGACACATTTTTTATTAACATCATCAGGTTGATTAACAATATATGTATAAAAAGTATATTGTTAATGATCAAATTTTTGAAAAAGTGGAAAAGTTTTTTAATTTTTTTTATAGATTCAAGATTTTTTGAAGCAAGCCCAAGGACATGTTAGCATTGTTGTTGAGCGTTACAAGCAGTTACCATTTGCTGGTGGATTGATGCACATTGATAGAGAAAAAGTTTTAAGATCAAGCCCTGTAAGATGATTTTATTTATACTTGTTTCTATATATTAAAAACAATCAACTTTACCGTTACAATAGTTAAACTCAGAGTTCAGCTGTTGTAAACTGTATTTATGTTAAAAAATACATCATTATATATGTACATCAAATATGGAAAGCTTTAAGTAAAAAGCTTTTAAATAATAAGGTCTTTCCTTTTTAAGGTTATTTTTACTGAGCCTCATGGTTCATTACAATTTACAATTTTAAGACAATAAAAGGTTTCCACATTAATTTTAAAATTTATCAGTTGTATATTTTTTTTATATATTCAAAGGTTTATGTAGTTGAATTTAATTTTTCACATTGTTAAATTCAACAGTTGATTTGATTAAATTTAAATAAGTTCAGAGGCAAATAATAGTAGTTAGGTTTTGTATATAAATTATTATTTTTTATATAATATAAAATATAAAGAAAATAAAAAAAGTGATAATCCAAAAAAATAGAACCATAAAGGCTGTGTATATAAATTTTAGATTTTATTGCATAAAAACTATGGTTATTTAACATGAAATGAAATAATTTTTTTACGGTTTTTAAAAACAATTTTTATTTGAAATTTTTTATAAAATATAATTATTATTTTTGCAATTTTTTGTAATTTTACTTTTAAGACTGAACATGATGTATTTTTGAAAAAATGTTTTTTTGATAATAGTTGAGTCCTTTCTGATGTTTAAGGGTCTTGGGTTACCCCTGAAAAAAAATTTTTGTTCAAAATTTTTTTAAATCCAGTATTATTTTATTGTATAGAACATATTTGGCAGATATTTTCAAAAAAAGTTGTACATATATATATATATATATATGCGGTTAAATGCGGTAGTGGTGTAGTGGTAGAGCGCTCGCTTCATAAACGAGTGGTTCCGAGTTCGATCCCCACGTCAAGGTTCGTGTTTCGGAGTTATAGAGTTGAGAGAGGGTTATAACCACAAATAAGTAGCCTCCTCGTCTGTAGTGGCCTTCTCGGCCTTGAGGAGGTGAATTAAAATAAAAAATATATATATATATATATATATATATATATATATATATATATATATATATATACATTTGTTTATTTAGAATTTCATCTCAATAACACTGAATAAAAAGAATGACAGTCTTGGATTCAGTATTACTGTAAGTTTCTTTATTACTATGTTTTGACTAGATTCAAAAATTTTTTATTAGGAGTTGTTTAAAAGATTTGTTTTTATATTAATTTTATTTTGTGGTTCAAATGTTTTAGGGGGGTTTAGACTTGGGTGGTATATTTGTAAAATATCTGAACCCCAATGGACCAGCAGCATGCGATAAAAGATTGGAAATAGGTATTTAGTTAATTGAAAACTTTTTAATATAAAAAATTTTGTGAATGATAACATTTTTAAAATTTTATTAATTGTTTATCTTACATTTCAATATTTGTATTTCTGCATTTTTACTGGTTATGTGTAATCTGTTTCCTCAAAATTCACAATTGATACTCTAAAATTTTTGACATCTTTTTTTAATTTATCTCTTTTCATTCTACTACTAACTTTTGCTTTTGATAACGCATAAATCCTGTCTCAGATACCATCCATCCATCCTCTGATACCATCCATCCATCCTCTGATACCATCCATCCATCCTCTGATACCATCCATCCATCCTCTGATACCATCCATCCATCCTCTGATACCATCCATCCATCCTCTGATACCATCCATCCATCCTCTGATACCATCCATCCATCCTCTGATACCATCCATCCATCCTCTGATACCATCCATCCATCCTCTGATACCATCCATCCATCCTCTGATACCATCCATCCATCCTCTGATACCATCCATCCATCCTCTGATACCATCCATCCATCCTCTGATACCATCCATCCATCCTCTGATACCATCCATCCATCCTCTGATACCATCCATCCATCCTCTGATACCATCCAATTATATCTCTGAGCACTTTATCCTAATTTAATTACCATACCTCAGAGTTGCATCTTTTAAATGTCAAAGTTTATCTATCTTACTTCTTACAAAAATTATGTTTAATCAAAAGTTCTTTTGATTAAATATGGTTGAATTATTTAAAAAGAGATTAAATAATGAAATTACGTTTGAATTTTTTTCAATAATAATATAAAAAGAGATAGTGTTGTGATTGCAAACAATGTTGCTTTTTTTTAAAGGAGATCGTGTTGTGGGTGTAAATGATATAAGCCTTGAAACTGTTAGTAGGCAAAAGGTTGAGATTTATTGTTTACTTTTTTGATATTTTATTAAGTTATATTTATAAATTCATTTTCAGCTTTCAGGAATTTCATTTGTAAACTTTATCAACTTTATTGCTTAGATTTTATTGGTTGATTTATTGCTTAGATTTTATTGGTTGATTTATTTATTAACAAAACGTTTTTACTTTTTGTTTTAGGCACTTGAAATTCTTCGAAATGCAACTTCTCCAGTCAATTTAATTATTGAAAAATGTGTTACTCCAGGAATTCCCTTACTAAATAATGGAACAAAACTAATGAGATCAGACTCCATAAAATCACTTCCAGCTCAAGCAATGCATCAGAGGTCTGACAAATTATTTTTAATTCTTTGAATAACAAAGTTATAAATAAATAAACTTAATGTTTTAAATTAATATTTATCAATTTAATAAATTAATATGTAAATATTTATAAAAATATGTGTGAGTTGGTTTATAAGCACATATATACTTTAAAAAATACTTTAAGTATTTTATTATTTATAAATGTTGTTTATTGATTTAAAAATGTATTATTTTTAATAGTTTTTAAATATATTTTGTTGTGTTTTCATTTTTTGTTTGGTTTTTATTTAGACAAAACATTGCAACACAATCACGTAATCTTAACTTCTCTATGCAACATTTAGCAAATGCAATATCTGGTGTTCCACCGAATGTAAACCAATTAAATACTCATGATATGAATGCAAATTACAATGAGTCTTCAAAAATTATTCTGCCAAACAAACCTGCTAAAGTAAGTTTCACTAAAGTATTGTTAGCATAATGATATTAAAATTGTTATAATGTTAATTTTTTAAGAAATAATTTAATTATGTCAAGAAAATAATTATTTAAGTAAAAACTTTATAATCTTTGTTTAATGAAATAAAAGAAAAATAATGTCCCTAAGAACTCTAAAACTTTATTAACTAAAGTGTATCTTGAGTGTAAGTATTCATTTGAATCTTAAACAAGAGCCTTAAACAAGCTTATTGTAGTTAAGTTAACCATTATAAAAGTTATTTTATATCAAGAAAACAGTTTTGGTTCTAATGAATTAATGAAAGTGATCTAAAAGTATACTAAAGTTTGTTTCAACAGAGACAAAAAAAACAACATAATAAAGCAAGTGGGTTGTGGTATGTTTGTATAAAGTTGTAAAGGTTGTGGTATGTTTGTATAAGGTGGTAAAGGTTATAGTATGTGTGAATAAAGTAGTAAAGGTTTTATAAGTATATAAAATGGTAAAGGTTGTGTTATGTGTGTATAAAGTGGTAAAGGTTGTGGTTTATGAGTACAAGTTGACAAAGGTTGTGGTTTGTCAGTACAAGGTGACAAAGATTGTGGTTTAAAGTGGTATATTTTGAGGTATGTGTGTAAAAGTGGCAAAGATTTTGGTACGTGTGTAAAAGTGGCAAAGGTTGTGATATAAAATGGCGTGTATAAAATAATAAAAGCTTTGGTATGTGTTTAAAAGTGGTAAAGATTGTGGTATGCGTGTTCAAAATAGTAAGGGTTTTGATATGTGTGTAAAGGCTATTAAAGTTTTGAAATGTCTGTAAAAATTGGTAAAAAGTTTATTTAAAGTAAAAAAAAATTTTTCAAGCTTTAAAGATTTTAACTTATATTTAATAATTTTTTGAAATTGCATCTTCTACATATTGTCGGCTCAGGATGCAATTGTCGTATCGCAAATTTATTAAAATTATATATATTTATATGTAATAACGTAATTTATGTAAGTTTAAAGTTATGTAAATGTAAAAAGTTATTTAATATAAATTATTTAATATAACGTTTTAAACAAAACTTTTTTCATTAATATATGATGTTAAATTTACATATATTAGATAATTACATATTTATATATAACTTTAATAAGTTTGTGATACGACAATTGCATTCTGAGCCAACGGTATATTTCCTACATATTCTCCTGGATTTTTTTAGAAAACTACAAGTTTTTATTCCTTCTTGTTTTTCTCAAGTTCTTAAAGTTTGCCTTTCAAAATCTCTTACTTTGTTGGTTAACATTTTAAACTCAATTTCCAGGCTTTTGCTTCTTGATTTGAGTCTTACCTCTGTACCAAGCTTTTATCTCCGTACTCTTTGATTATTTTCTGAATGTATTTGATTTAAAACATTCCGCAAAATTTATGAAATTCTTATATTTATTATAAAATAAAATCGACTTGTTTATTGTAAAAAAACACATTAGTGTTTTTTTACAACAAACAAGTCAATTTTTAACTTTGTTAAGAATACTTAAAGAATTCATCTCTTAATACCTACTCCTGCCATCTCTACCAAATCCTGGTTATTTCTTGAACTTATTTCTTGATCGGTTTGCACCAGAAGCGCAGAGGTAATAACTTTTATTAAAAGTTATGACTGCGAGTTGACTGATTTAAATTTCTTAAAACAATTAAAAAGCCTAAAAAATCTGTAAAACACTGACAACCAACTCCAAAAAATGTATGACACCTCAAAATTTCATAAAAGTAAAACTTATTACAAGACAAAAATGCAACGACTGACAAAATTATCCATAGCATATGAGATGCTGATATCTATATTTTTTAATATGAGTTTTTTATTGAAGCTATTGATATTTTTGGCATTTTATATATGGCAAGCGATTTCAACTATTAACAACTCTGCAGGAGTAATTTGCCAAGATTGAGTTGATATTTTTGTTTGCATAGCTTTGCAACATCACCCCTACCCCCTTGCCTCTGATCATCTGGAATGAACAACTATATAGTTGTTCCTCAACCACAATTGTTAATTGGTGCTGTAATGAGACTAGTGAACAAAATATTTTAAGTTTGTTTTAAAATACTTTAAATTTGAATAGGCAACCTATTCAAATTTAAATATTTTAAATTTGAATAGGTAGGTTATGAATGCACCACTTGGTGCATTCACAACCTACTTGGATTCATAATCTACTTGGATTCATTCACCACCACTTGGATCACAACTTTTGAAACACTTTTTTTTTTGTTCAAAATATGAAGTTATAGTTTTTTTATTTTTTAGGGTAAAATTTATATTTTTACAAGTTAAATTTTTTATTTAAATATTTCAAGTATGTGTTTTAACAAAATGCAAAATTTTTAGTGTTCTTTTTTTAGTGAAAAAATGTACCATATTTCAGTAAAACAAAAAAACTTAATTTTATGTCAATAATTAAGAACTCTTAATAATTATGAACCATATTTACTTTATGTTTTTATTTTATTGAAAGTCTCTAATTCTTATATAAACACTTTACTAAAGCAGTTGATTGAACATTTATCATGTTTAGCATGTGAATATGTAGTTTTAATTAATTCTTAATACAAGTAATAATGATATTTTTAAAAAAATTGTCAAGCTCAAATTACTTGCAAATACTGGTTGGTTAGCAACTTGTAGTTTTTGCAAAGTTTATTTTAAAATTTTGACATTTCCTGAATATTTTTGTCTCTTTTTTATAACAATTTGTTATAATTCTTTCCTTAACATAACATAACATAACATAAACTATGTTGATCTTAAATAGTTTTTATTAAGACTTGTATTTCCCTCCTTGTCATTCTTATTTTTACAAAATTATTATTTTTTAATTCATTTTTACAACATTTTCACTACTGGAAATTGTAACATATCTAAAGCTTAATTTGAACTTTTTTTAAACTTTAAAGTTGTTTTATATACAAATAAATATGTACTATATAGACAGAATAATTTCTTAATCTTTATATTGATAATTTTATCCATCTTTATATCAACAATTTTTCATGAAAAGTAATAAAACAAAATCTCTGCTCCAACCCTCTATTATTGTAGCAGCAACTCCCTCACAAAAATCATTAGGGGTACACCTTTTATGGTACATTTTCTTTACAATTTTCACAGCTCAGATTATTTGATGATTTTGTTGCATGTTTACATACTGTGCACGCAATCTTTGTATTTACATTTTGAGTTCTGCTCCAGAAGAGAGTTCTGCCCCAGAAGAGAGTTTTTAGAAAGAATTCAGTTTCATAACTTGCTTATTAGATTATGTTGATATCAAAAATGGTTTTCACTTGATAAAATAATGCTGATAACACATATCTTTAACACTAAAGTCAAATATTGCTCAATCCTCAAAAAAAAGGTCTGGAAAAATATGATGTAAAAATAATATTTTTATCAAAATAAACATTATTATGCACAACTTCTCAGAAACGCATCAGGCACTTTTTTTGACATAAGCAAAATGAAAGAAACTGTTTTACCAACGCGTAATATGTTTTTTACCATGTTAGATTTTTCAAAGGGAAATGTTAAAAAACGGATGTGCCTCCATATGCAGTTATGTCCCCATTTCCCCTATATATATATATATATATATATATATATATATATATATATATATATATATATATATATATATATATATATATATATATATATATATATATATATATATATATATATATATATATATATATATATAAATATATATATATATATATATATATATATATATATATATATATATATATATATATATATATATATATATATATAGGGGAAATGGGGACATAACTGTTATATATATATATATATATATATAACTAACTAATATATATATATATATATATATATATATATATATATATATATATATATATATATATATATATATATATATATATATATGCACACACAAACTTGTTTGAATATTAATATTTAATCTGTAAAAATATACAGGATACAACTTTTGTTTAGGAGGTATTTGTTGTTGACTTGACAAAGAAAAATGGATGTTTTGGAATAAGCTTAACAGTAAGTTAAATTTTAAATTTTTTTATAATCTACTTTATGATTATATTTATATTTTTATTAAGTATATTTAAATCATTTAAAGGGTGGCGTAGAAGTAGGAGGTATATTTGTAAAAGCGCTTAAACCTGGTACACATCCAAGTATACAAAAAGGTCTATATATTTTTTTGCTTTTGAGGAAAGACAAAAAATTAGAAAATTTATTTTATTAAATTGTTTCTAAATTATTTAGGTGATCGTGTTATTGAGATAAATGCACGGCGCATGGAAGGTCTATCTGGGGCAGAAGCTATCAACTGGTTAAAGTTGTCAGGCAATACAGCTACTTTTATATTAGAACGATATCAACCACATGTGTATCAACCACATGTTGAAAGTCCTCTACAGCTCTCTCAGCTTTCAAGTTTTGATGGGGTAAGTTGGCAATATTTGTTTTGTTTTTTTGATTGAATTTGAAAGGAATTTTTTTTTTATGATTTTTTTATTTAATCAACTTGACAACTTTTTCATATGTAGACATATTATAAAAAAAAACAATGTTGTATTAAAAACAATTATAAAAGTATTTAAACCTTAACTTTTGACTTTTTTAAAGAATTTTTCACAGATATTTATTACTTAATAGAAATAGTGGTTGAGGGGTACCTGATAAACTTACTTCATGTAAATTTTTCATTATGGGAAAGACCAAGTTTCAATCATCCTGGAAAGAAAGCTATTCATGGATAAAAGCTTCTAATAAGTCTATTATCCATGGGTTTTGTAGATTTTGTTTTGCGGACATAACCATTTCAGCTGGTGTGATCCAGCTTTATCTTCATTTGAGGTCTAAGAAACACAAAGAAAATACAAAATCAGCTAAGTTTGTGACAAGTTTTAACTCTAAAGTTTTGACTTCTTTTAAATTCACTAAAAGCATAATATTAAGCACTGAAGAGCAAATAGTTATGGCTGACATTGTTCGTTGTTTAGACATTATTGATTCCAACTGTGCACTTGCTGCAGCTGATAGTGACTATGCTAAATAACCCTTTTTTTTTTGGTATGTTTTAGCAATTTTAAAACCCAGAAGGGTTTTACATACCAAAAAAATTTGGATAAGCTGGAGTATATGATTCAGATCAGAATAGCCCCTTGTATTCAAAAAGTTATTTAAAATGAGTTAAAAGGTTTATCTTTCAAGGGTGCAAGCAACCACTAATTAGTGTTGAAAGTTACTGGAATAGAAAAGATAAAGGTTGTAGAGCAAGATAACGATTGACAGACAACTTAAAAGATTGCAAATTATATGAATCAGGAAAGCAAGATGAAGGAAGCGAATTCCAAAGAACTGATGTTCAAGGAAAAAAAACTAGATGAATAAGAGTTTTTGGAGCACTTTGGAACAGTAACAGAAAAAGGATGAAACTTAATTGAATTACGAGTAACACGAGAATGAATTTTAGTAGATGGCACAAGAGACACTAGCTCTTTAGAGCAATGCCCATTATAGTATTTATAGAATAGTGAAAGAGAAGCAACATTACGGCGATGTGATAATAGTTAAAGGTTGGCTACAAGAGCTGGTCCAACTATATTTTCAATGCATTTTTTCACCTTGTCTAAAAAAGAAAAGACATCATTAGAAGATCCGCCCCAGATATATCAACAGTATTCCATACAAAGCCGGATTTGAGATTTATAGAGATAGAGAATAGAATCCAGAGTAAGAAAGTGTCAAGCTCGATAAAGAAATGCAACTTTAGCAGATGCTAATTTTGCAACGGACTTGATATATGGTTTCCAAGAAAGATCAGAAGTAAGAGGTAATCCTAGAAAATGACACATCAAGGGTAGATGACACATCAAGTACATTACCGTTCATAAGTATAGGAAGGTCTAAATTATTGCGATATTTTTTTTTTTTTTTTTTTTTTTTTTTTAATTCACCTCCTCAAGGCCGAGAAGGCCACTACAGACGAGGAGGCTACTTATTTGTGGCTATAACCCTCTCTCAACTCTATAACTCCGAAACACGAACCTTGACGAACAAGGCCGCTGCGCGGAGAAACGAGTTGAGCGCGGTACTACCAGGGACGTGGTGGGGATCGAACTCGGAACCACTCGTTTATGAAGCGAGCGCTCTACCACTACACCACTACCGCATATTACTAGATAACAATAATTTAGACCCTGATTGGCTGAAAAAAATCGAGTTTTATCTGAGTTAAAGTTCGCCAACCACTGTAGCAGAAGTAAGATCCTTTTCAAGCTCAAATGTTCCCTCCAAGCAATCAGAGAGAGTTTGCTTCTTATCATGACAAAAATAAATGATAGTATTATTAGTGAACAATGTTACCTTAGATGTAAGAATATCTGGAAGATTGTTAAAGTAAATCAAAAAGAGTATAGGAACCCCTGAGGTTACAGAATAATAAGAAGAGTGCTGTCCATCAAGGACAACTTATATAGTAAAGTTGAAAAAATAGTTGTGGTGACCCAAAAGAAAATACTTTTATATCAATAATACTAATGAATAGAATAGAGTGAAGTTTCTTGATAAAAAGAAAGAAAATCTTCCAAATGCTTATAAAATTTTTTAATTTTTTTAGGATGTTTTGCAACTCCAGCTTCAGAAAAGAAACAATTCATTCGGTTTATGTCTAGCGGTAATATATATTTTATGTTAATATTTTAGTTATATATGTTAATTAATTATTGTTATTTTTAAATAATTTTAAATTTTTTTAGGATATTCCTGATCATCGTGGAGTTTTTATAAAAAATATTATGCCAGGAGGAAGTGCTGAGTCTGATGGAAGATTAGAGAGAGGTGATCGGCTACTCGAGATTAATGGTATAAACCTTGATGGATTAAACAAAAATCAGGTAATGAATCAAGTTCACATTAGTTTTTCAAATAAATGTTAAATCAGATTAGTTCAGGTATAGAATTATTATGATTCTGCTACTGGTAACTTGCAATCCAGTATAGGCTGTCATATATCCAGCTACTGGTAACATGTAATCAAATATAGACTGTCACATATACTGCCTCGTAGGACTTGCTTTTTTTATCAAACTAGAAGTAATTAACTTTGATTAGAGTTTCTCTAGTAGTCTTTGGTTGAGTAAAGTCTTGAGATTGTGTCTCAATAAAAATTGAAAATCTTGAGTAGATGTTAACTGCATCTGTTTACTGTTTAGTAGAAGCTCTCCTCTCCTCTCCTGGTCAAAAATATTAAGAGTAAACAGAAATTTTCTGTTAACCAACACTAGCAAAATTGTATTACATTGTTACTCTGCTTAGGATGAGAAATGATTAACTCTTGATCTTGATCTTGACTCTACTTATGGATTTTTTGACTTAGCCTCCTTGGAAGTAGCTAAACAACTTTTTCATAAGAAAGTTTGCTCAGTTTCTACTTGTTCTCCTTTAGGTGGTTCAGATGCTAAGATCTCACTAAATATTTTATTTTGAACTTTTTTCTACATGACTTCTTCTTACTACCTTAATGTTGACTAGGATTCTTTTTTACTCGTTTTACATGATTTTCATTATTAACTCTCTAAGATTAGGCATAGCTATTTACAAAAAACTTTTTTTCTCTAGTTTATCTTTTAATGAAAAAGGATATTTTACTGTTCCTGTAATTTTTACTTTATACTCAATATCAAAATGCTTTTGTCCTCAAACATCAATGCTTTAGAACTTCCTCATAAAATATAAAGACATGCTTTACTGACCCATACAGTTTACAGTTTTTTTCGCCTTCTGCAAACCGCTCTAGGCTTCTTTTTCACTTGCTGTAAATTATTTTCTTTGCTTAAAAATAGCAATTAAAAAAATTAATAGATTTTTTTTTGTAAAAATAAAACATTTTTTTTTAGGTCAATGATTTGTTAAAGCAGTCACCAACAACTTTATATCTTTTAGTGGAAAAATCTTATGTTGCTGATAACTTACGGATTTTGGATAAGGTATTTTCATATCTTTTAGTGGAAAAATCTGATAACTTTATATTTTACTTTATATTTTGGATAAGGTATTTTTGTTTTAGTAGTTGACTAAAATGTGTGAATTCTAATAGTAACTTTTAAACTTTTCGATTATTACTTTCAATTGATAAAATTGGTTTTTGGTCATTATGCCAGTGATGACATCATGTCAGTGATGTCATCATGTCAGTGATGTCACCATGTCAGTAATGTCATCATGTCAGTTTTTATTTCAAATTAATATAATAAATATGTTTCAAACTTCTTATGTTTTAACTGTAAACTAATGTTTTAAAAATATAAGAAAAAATAATTTAAGAAATAAAAAGAAACAAAACATTTCCCCAAACAGTAAAAAATATATTTAACTGTATTTTGTTTGTTATTTAAGTCAGTTTCATTTGTTAAGCTTTATTTAAGTCAGATAATAATGTCAGATTACAACTCTATTGTAAAACTTTTTTCATTGAATTACTATTATTAATTTTAGTTGTCATTATTTTTTAAAAATATATTTAATTTTGAATTAAAAAAATTAAATTTAAGTTTTAATCTTATTTGTATCGAACCAGTAGTTTAGATGTTTTCCCAAATATGCGGAATCAGCGATTCAAAATATTATTTACAGGATTGCTTTTAATTTAAACTTCAACCAATAAACTTCTTGACATCAGTCTAAGAGTGTTATGGAGTTGATTACCAAAATGGAGGATAAATAAGAGTGTTATGAAGTTGGTTACCAACAAGTCCTATTATTTCAATAAAGATGTGTCTCACTTTAAGTACTTTTTTAAAATAAAAAAAAAATGATTTATAGAGATCTAAAAACAGTAACACAAATTGAAATAATTAGAGAATACAAAAGAAAAAAAAGGAAAAAGAAATTTGAATAGGTTCTTTTTATTGTAAGAATTTTTTCACAAGAGAATTTTTAGTAATTAAACTTTGAATGAATGAGTTTGAATGAATGAGTTTGAATGAATGAGTTTGAATGAATGAGTTTGATACTTTGATCTAATTGAGTTGGGCAATTCACTTTTAAATACAGTTAACAATAACTATATGTTTACAATAGTTTAAAGTAAATAACTGTTTTCAATAAGCATATAAGATTTCTAACATGTTTATTGTAAACAATTGTTTAAAGATTCATTTAAAAATTATAATATATTTATAATATAAATATATACATCTATATAAATATATTTACTATTAAATCTATTATTTTTATTACAAATGGAATTTTCGAAGTTGACAGAATTAATTTTAATTTTAAACCTCTTGATGTTTATGGCATTAATGACATCATATGGCAAGTTATGCCAAATATTAACAAACAAGAGGGAGAAAGAATAACAAACAAGAGGGAGAAAGAATAACAAACCTGATGGAGAAAGAATGACAAACCTGAGGGAGAAAGAATAATAAACCTGAGGGAATAAGAATAACAAACCTGAAGGAGAAAGATTAACAAACCTGAGAGACAAGGCTGGCGTGATGGTGGGGGGGTGACACTCAATGATTTTTTCGTTCATTTAGTGGGCAAATTTGACCCTTTTGACAACTTAGTCGGTAAATTTAGACAGTCAGTTGGCAAATGTTGTTATGGCAGTGGGCAAATTTTAAAAAACGAGGACCTTTTTTTTTTTTTTTTTCAAGTCGGCAAAAGTTGTAATGACAAACACACACACCACACAACCCCATGTGACACCTACTCGCGCCGGCCCTGCTGAGAGAGAAAGAATAACAAATCTGAGGGAGAAAGAATGTTTATTAACATTGAGTTTACACTTTAGTTTGTTTAAATTTTAAACCTCAAGTAAAAATATAGTTGTTTACTAAAAACAAACTTGATTTGATAAAATTTAAAAATATTGATTTAGGCAAACTTAAATAGAGCAAATTCTTTATTTTCTGAAAATATTTCAGCTCAAGAGATTAGAGTAACAACTTTTAAAAATGGACCTGGTGCTGGGTACCTGGACTCAGACCCAGTATATTTTTGCAGGTACTCAAAATCAGGGATATATATATATATATACATTATGCAAAAAAAAAAAAATCATACACTTGAAAAAAAATTGTAATTTTAAGCATTGCATCGAAAAAATTAGTTTTCCCTTAAAATATTTGAAATTTTTTTATTAGATATTATATCAAGTATTGTTTTAAGAATTTATTTGTCTATTGGTGAGTTAATTGCTTTTCATACCTATTGAATTTTACACAATTGATCACATATGAAAATTTCATACCTATTGAATTTTACACAATTGACACATATGAAAATTACACAAATGATGCATATAATTGACTGCAAAAAAAATAATCGTACGCTGACAAAATAGGTTGTTATTTTAGCATAAATTGGGCCAATTGAACGATTAAACTAGTTAGTAAAATTAAAATAGTAATTTTTTATATACACTTTCGTTCTAGAAATAAAACATAGTGTTTCAGCAAAATGGCATCAAGAAAACAACATTTGTCTTTCCATCAACAAAGCCTCGTAATTGATTTAAAAAATCAAGGAAAATCCTACCGTCAGATCTAAAAAGAAACAGGAATTCCTTTTACGACAGTGTCCTCGATTGTTAAGAAGCATAATCTGATTGGAACTGTTGCCAGTGTGGCTGACAGAGGAGGAAAACACAAGACCACTAGTGCAATTGATCGCAATATCATCATTAATGTGAAGAAAAACAGATTTTTTTTGGCAGCTAAATTAGCTTTAAAAATTCAAGAAGATCACAGTATCACAGTGACCCCTCAAACAATTAGAAATTGTATTAGAGAACAAGGATATAGAGGTAGAGTAGTTTGAAAAAAACCTTTTTTAATGTCAAAGCAAATGAAACATTGATTAAAATTTGTAAAGAAGTACGAAAAATTTCCGATATCTTATTGGAAAAAAATTTTGTGGTCAGATGAGTCCAAATACAACCTTGTCTCATTGGATGGAGTTCAAAAAGTGTGACGAAAAAATGAAGATTAAGTTGTTTGCGAGGTAGTGTAAAGCATGGAGGAGGAAATGTGATGGTTTGGGGTAGTATGAATTGGAAAGGAGTGGGGAAAAGGACATTTATTGATAAAAAAATGGATGCTTCAATGTATTGTGAAATTCTTAAAGCCAACTTGCGACCATCTACTAAAAAATTGAGAATGGGAAACGATTTTATACTGCAGCATGATAACAATCCAAAACATACCGCTAAGAAAACGAAGGTATACTTTGACACAAATAACATCAATGTTTTGGAATGGCCATCTCAAAGTCCGGACTTGAATCCTATAGAAAATTTATAGTATATTTTGGAAAGAAAAATTGTTGACCGAGCATTTAGACGAAAAGACTTAAAAGAAGCTATAATTAGCACATGGGATAATATAACAACAGAAGAGACTCAAAATTTGGTTAATTTAATGCCAAATCATCTAGCTGAGACTATCAAGGCCAAAGGAGGCCCCACTTGTTACTAATTTCCATGAAGTTTAATAAATTAGACATTATTTTTGAACTGTATGATTTTTTTTTTTGCAGTCAATTTTATGCATCATTAGATCAATTGTGTAAAATTCAATAGGTATAAAAAGCAATTAACTCACCAATACACTAATAAATTTTCAAAATGATACTTGATAAGATATCTAAAAAAAATTTCAAATACTTTAACGGAAAACTAATTTTTTTGATGCAATCTTTAAAATTACGATTTATTTTCAAGTGTACAATTATTTTTTTTTGCATACTGTATATATATATATATATATATATATATATATATATATATATATATATATATATATATATATATATATATATATATATATATATATATATATATATATATATATATATATATATATATATATATATATATATATATGTGTGTGTATCTCTATATCCTTATAGTGTAGTCAAAAGAGACTTTTATGGGAAAAAAAAGTCTCTTTCAACTACAATTTTTTTACCTTGTCTCTTAAGCTGCATTTTATTGTCGATGAAATGTCAAAGCAATTAAATTAATGGGGAAGTACATTAAATTTTATTGTTTTTTAAAAAAACCGCAATAATAATGACTAGAAAGTTTTTTTTTAATAAGTGGTGTTTTTGTTTTTGTTTTATTAAAAACATTTTTAAAACATGCGTAAGTGTTGCTACATCGACTATCTTATAGCCTGCTGCTACAAGGGAGTGTTGCTACATCGACTATCTTATAACCTGACTCACAAGGGAATGCTGCTACATCGACTGACAAATAGCCTGACTCGCAAGGGAGTGCTGCTACATCGACTGACAAATAGCCTGACTCGCAAGGGAGTGCTGCTACATCGACTGATTTTGGTTTGGGCAGGCAGTCCCAAACAAAAACTTAAAAAATTTTTTTTTAAGTTTTTTAACAATTTCTAGTCAGGCTTATTAACGCACTCTTAAAAACAACAGTTTATGGGAAAAACTTTGTGACTACCATGCAAGACTATATATATATATATATATATATATATATATATATATATATATATATATATATATATATATATATATATATATATATATATATATATATATATATATATATATATATATATATATATATATGTATATATATATATAACAAATAAAGCTTGTCTTCTAATTAAAATTTATTTCTCTGGCATTAGTTCACTTTTATTTTAAAGCTAAATTGATGCCACTAAATTTTAAAGAAATCCTATCATGTGATTGGTTACTGTCAGATGCTTTTATCATGATGTAATTTTGTTATTTGTGTTAAATGCATAAGTTTGTAAAATTATTAACTATTAGGTTTTGTGATTCCTTTACACATTTTTAAAACTAAAAGCTCCATTCTGATTGCTGAATCTTTGATGTTGTTTTATTTTGGATATTGACAGTTCATTAGTGTCAAAGTGGAGAAATAATATAAAATTTTATTTTAAAATTGTTTAATTCTATTGTGTCTTATTTTATCTAAATATATTATTATAGGACGTATATAGTGTGGATTTAAAGAAGGGAGATGCTGGAATAGGTTTAAGCATAACTGTAAGTTGTTTATTTAGTTTTTGTTTAAATTTTTTTTTATTAGTTCTTTCTAGAAAATATATTATATAACAAAAGTGCAATCCTTGTTGTAAAAAAAATAATTTAATTTCTTATGAAAATTTTCTTTGATACAAAAATATTTTTTATTTATAAAGTTTACATAATTTTTGTATGTTTTTTGTTTCCTCTTATTTTTAAATTTTTAAAATCTACGTTCTAAAAATATGCTTAAAAAAAAAAAAAATTAAATTGCCCAATGTAAATATCCGTAAAAAGTTTTGTTTTTTTAAATCAAATAAATAAACTTGACATTTTCAATGGTTTCATACATTTTAGTTGTGTTAAAGATTATAATTTATTTTTTCAGCTAAATTTATTGCACAGCCATCAAAAATATCTTTATAAAATTTATTTTTAACATAATTCCTCTAATTTTTATTTTTGTAAGTTTTTATATCCAACATGTATTAAATAATTTATATTCATTAATATTTTAACATGAAATTAAATTTATTAAAAATTTTTAATAAAATTTCAATTTAATTATGGAATTCTGGTGTATAAATAAAATTTTTGGAATTCAGATATTTATCAAGATTTGTAAGAGGTTACAAAAACATGCATAAAAGTGTAACAATAGTTTAAGTGACAACTGCTTTTTGTGTTTACATTCCATAAAAACAATAGTAAATGGGGTATTTTAAATACTCATTGGCTACACTCCTGCGCTTTTTTTCCAAGAACTTTCAAGAAAATTTACCATTAATTTGTCAAGAGGTTTTAAAAGAATTTTAAAGTTTTCATATTTCATTATTAGTTATGGTTAATTATTTCATTATTAGTTATGGTTATTTCATTATGGTTATTTTGTTTCTTTAAAATCAAATTTTAGTCTTGAATTTGTTTAGTTTTAAGCATTCTTTTAACTTTTTACAAATTTGATTTTTTGATGAAAAATATCAAAATTTTACAAATTTTGATATTTTTTTAAATTTATGTTAAAATTGTTGTAGGGAGGAGCAGAATTTGGTGGAATTTTTGTTAAGGGACTTTTACCTGGTGGAATAGCTGATTCAATAAAAAAAATACAAAAAGGTAAGTATAAAGTTAATTATCAAAAAAAATAATAATCTTAAAGAAAAAGATAAAAAAAAATTCAAAGTTAAAAAAAATAATGATGATAAAGTGATATATTAAGGTATTGATAAAAAAAAACTTGAAAAAATGTAAAATTTCAAATTAACATAATCAAAAGTTCAAATCATATGTTACCCAGTCATGATATTACTACTAACAAAAGGTGTAAAAACAAAATCTATAAATATAAAACAATAAAATATAATATATATAAATATAAAACAACAAAAAGGTTATTTAGAAAGAGTTTTTCAAACTTATGATATATAAGCATTATTTATGAATATTTTTGGTGAACATTAAAGGTGATCGTCTATTGGAAGTAAATGGTACCAGCTTAAATGGACTCAACAAACAACAGGTTTATTTCAGATTTGTCTGTAGATTTCTTTTTACCCATAAAAGTTTACAAATTTAAAAAGCAAAAGAATTTTCTTTAAGGCATGTGAAATTTTGCAAAAAGCACCTGTAAATATCAACTTACTTCTGGAGAAAAATGCAACATATGATGGTATTGTTATACCAGAATCAGTAAGATTTTTTTTATAATAATTTTTGGTTTAGATTTTTGGTTATTTTATTTTATTCTTGTTGTTATAGTTATATTCTTGTTGTTATAGGAATATTTCACAGTAGAGCTCCACAAAAAGAACAATGGCTATGGACTAAATTTGACTGTAAGTTTGGAGAATGACTAAATGAATGACTAAAGAACAAAGACTAAACTATAACCAAGGAAACTGAAACTCATAATTAAAGACAGGTTTACATACATAGGATGAATCAACATGACAGCATCCTAAGAAACGAATGGTAACGATATTTACAGTTTGTCATTTTTTTTAATACAGTTTTGACAGTTAGCACAAAAAGGTTGAGAATATCTTAAATTGTTTTAATATTTTATTTCTTCATTCTTTTCCTGTTACATCTGTTATTTATGCTGTTACCTGTTTCCCCCTATACTTCATTTTAATGTTTTTTTTATAACATAAAATTCCTATTTATTATTATTTTTTTTATGGAACCTTACATACCATTTGGAACCTTATATTCCATACCTTTAAATCCACTTGTTCTTTTAACTTTAATAATTCTTTAAGGAAGCAATCACTACCATTAAATTTATAAAGTTTGTTTTTTATTTATGATTTGTTTGTTAAAGTTGGTTTTAGATTATTTTTATTTGTTTATTACAATTAGTGTTTTTTATTAAATGGTTTAGTTTAACAACTTTACAGTTATTACCTTAACAGTCTATTTTTTCTATTTTTTCAAATAGAGAAACACTATTTGGTGGCAATAATCATGATGGCATATAAAGTAGCTTAGCAATTTTTTTTATGAGTTAAATAAGCAGCATTAAAAAAGTTTTTTCAGCTTGTCAGT